AATCTGATTCATACCATATTCATGTCTCCATTCCTAGAAAGGATACCATGTTGCTCCCAATGTGTCTTTTATAGCCATTTCTTTTTTAAAATAAGATTCAATCATGGTTCACATGTTGCTTTTGGTTATTATATCTCTTTGGTCTATTTTATTTTAAGGACTCTGACTTTTTCCCCCATGACATTAATTATTTGATGAGATTAGGCCTGATTTATAGGAGTGTTTACTCATGGTGTTGTTTATCTTATTCTCTACCCCCTATATTTCCTGTGAACTGGAAGTCAGGTGCAGCTTTAGCAGGTTCCAGTTAAATGTTTTTGGCAAGAATATATAATAAATAATATTGTTCACTCCACAGGGAATCATGCCAGGAGGCACATGCTATCAGGTGGTGTCTTAGTGACGCTGTGTTTGTTCACTTGATTATGTTGATAAGCACAAGATCTCTTCATAGTGAAGATTCATTTTTCCCTTTGCAATTAGCAGGTAACTGGTGGCTAACATGTTGATGTGAGGAATTCATCTTCTATGGTCTCCTTTCACTCAGTGGTTTTAGCAACCACTGGTGATCTTGATTGATTCAATTATTTCACTGGTGTTATAAAATGATTTTTCTAACTCTTCCTTACTTTTTTTCTTCCCCCTTTCCTTCTGTCTATCTGTCTGTCTATCTACCTATCTAATTCTATCATGTTTACTCCATGTTGGCATTTATCTGCTAAGAAGAGATTTCTCTCATCAACTGGAAATAAATTACAGCCACTCTCTTTCCCACACCCCAAAAAGACAGGATACATGCTTAATTGTATCCCTTAATTACAAACTTTTAGAATCAAGAGTTGATGTAGAAGTCACATCCAATGATGGCAAATGAGCTTTTTTTTTTTTACCTTGCTTTTATTTTTTTATGTCACTATGGGTTCATATATTTAAAAAATATATATATTGTCTAGCTCTGTCCACTGAAGGATCTAAAAGTAAAATCATTCAGTAGCAAAGAAGGCTCCTAGCACCTGGATCCTGGTTTCTAAATACCTGCTGCTACTAAAGAATCCAGGGATCTCTGGAGAAATGGCTGACTCCAGGTCTAGGGCAGATAAAATCCAAGATAAGTCTGAGACATCTCATTAGGGCAAGCAGGACAATTCAAACATCCAAAAAAAAAATAATGATTGTGCTTTGTACAGAGAGCTTTTTCTGAGTTTTGAATTATTTCCTTAATTCAGCTACTGAGAAATGGAATTCCTAGGTTCAGAATATAAGATAATACACACACATACGTACATACGTACATATATGTGTGGGTCAATTTACATATACATGTATCTGCATGTATATGTGTGTGTATATAGTCCTTTTCCTAAAGGATTTTGCCAGCCTATTTTCCACCATTAATGTACGAGAATGCATCATGTTATACCAGTGAGGGTTGTGTATTAATAAGCAGTAATTATTGCTGAAGAAGGAGTGTTGGTTCTGAACAGCAATCACTTCTCAGCCTCCCAGACATCCACTCTCAAACTTTGAGGCCCATAAATTCAAAGATCTTTCCTTATCATTTTCTGCTATCCACAGATATCATTAGGTTAATAGTCTCTTAAACTGTCCATTTTTTTCTAGCTCTGATTTTAGAGGATATTATTAGCTTAAGACCTCTACTTGGTGCTACACTGAATACTGATGATTGAAATAGGACGTGAAACCTTCTGTGTGCAGAGATATGCAGTGAGCAGCAGCATTTATCAGAATGAGTCAGTAAGCACCTCCTCCGTGGCCCTCCTAGTGCCTGAAAAATGCATTGCGACCCCCAGGCAGAGTGATAAAGCTGGAGCAAGACTATTTATGATAATCACAGCTGCCTCCTATTCCTAGGGCAGAATTAATTTAATATACTCTGCCTCCCTTTTCTTTGCTTTTTTTTTTTTTTTGCCATCCCTGTAGGAGTTGGGTCTGTGGGACTTCTCTGGTGTTTTCTGTATGGGCAGAAGATGTTTTCCATTAAATTCTGTTTTTCTGTTGATGAAATAGTGTTAAAGGTAACAGCTATCATTTTGTAGGAGCTTTCTGTTTACCATGCACTAGGCTAAGCACTGCATACTTGTTATTTCATTTATTTTCCAAAACAACCTTATGGGATACATACTCTTAACATCCCTAGTTAAGTGAGACTTAAGAGAGGAAGTAATTTACCCAAGGTCACACAGCTAGTAAAATGTACAGCCTGGTTTCAAATGCAGATCTGTCTTCACCAAATCCTATTCACTCAGCTATTTGCTATGCTATGACAGGCTATAATATTCCTTAAGCTAACCAAGGCCAGCCCATAGATGAAGGTCAAAAGCAATATACTAACGCAAGAGCAATAGCAATGAGTATAGGGTTCCTCTTGAACATAAGAAAATGTACATGTATTCATTGTTAGATAAATAGCCTACATTTTTTCTTCAACAACAAGGGGCCACATGGGCACATAAAGTAACAGAGGAATGAGATTTGGCTTTGGAGGACCTGGGTGCGAGTCCTGGTTTTATAACACCAGTTAGCAAACATCTACAAGCCTTGGTTTCCGTGGCTGTAAAATGAGGGAATACAAATGCTATCTACTTTGCCAGGTTGTCAGAAGGTTTAAATGGAATAATGCATGCATGCAGCACTGTGCAGATGATAAAGTGCCGCGGCTAACGTTATTGTTAGTAGCAGTAGAAAACAAACGGGCAGCTGTGATCATTTTATTCTTGTTATAATTTGTTCTCTGTTGATTTCTATACTCTTTTCCAAGCAGGCCAGGGCCTCACAATTGGTTAGCTCCTCTGAAGCTCACTCTCCTTCAAATGAGAGGAATAGGACGAAGCTCTAGGGTATAATATGCTTCTTAGTGGAGCGTATGTCACCTGGGAAAGAACTCTGGAAATAAGTCCTTTTTGCATTTTGGAAAACCATCTACCACGACTTTTGGGGGAGTTCCTTGGGTTTCTTCCAGCCATCGAGTCTTCTAAGGGCTCCTTGGGCTTTAACTCTTCCTCTCATAAATCCTATAAGTTAGAGCCAGATAGCTCTAGAGAGATGACATATGAGGAAACTTCGACCCAAGAAGACAAGTGCCTTTTGGATGGTTATGATGAAGATAATCACGGAATCACCTCATGTTAGAGTTGGGAAGGACCTTGTAAAGCTTCTAGTCCAATTATCTGGCAGATGGATTGTAACTTGGGAGACAGCCTGCTACAATAGAAAGAGCACGAGCTTTGATAATCATACAGACCTGGGTTCAAACTACAGTTGGTTGGCTTATTGCCTATGTGACCTTAAAAACTTATTTGACCCTTAAGGCTTCATTTTTAATCTATAAAAATAAGACTTACCTTCTGTGTTTCTTCATTGGATGGATAGATATATAGATAGATAAATAGACAGACAGACAGACAGACAGTCAGGACAAATGAACCAGGGGCAAAATGAGCAATCAGTAAAGCATTACAATTACAGTTGGACTTATATTATTATTATACTACTATTGATACATATGTTGAGGAGTGATTAAAATCAACAGAAGCTTTATATTCTTTCTTTCCCAGGGTTTTTAAATACTTACTTGATGCTTATACATTTAAGTCATTGCCTACCAGGCCAATATTTCTCAACAGGAAAGAGAGACTACATGGATATACATTTTAAAGGAAGATTTCTGCATCGTAGGACATTTAATACTGTTCTGAGTTGGGCCAGGCTTCTAGTTCAAAGAATGAAGGAGATCACCTAGATTTGAACTCGTGACTTCACCTGTAAACTAATTCAGAGAGCTGTGCCACTCCCTCTCTTCTCCTGCCCCTCAACCTCACCCCATATATTCTACTTCTTTCTAATTTCTCCCTCAATTACATTATCATGGCTGCCAGAAATCAAGCCTGCTTGTTTAAAAACCCTGGCTTATTTAGGGTGAATGGATAAGATTCTGGCTCAGCAGAATGTTAGACCTTTTTACTGGGGTAATAATAAATCAACCTCAGAAGTCATGCGATGACCATTCCACTTGTGATTCACAGAAAGAAGCTTTAACAGTAATCCTCTGTGCTAAAATACTTTGATGAGGCTACAGTCTCCCACCAGTTCTGCTTCCCTCCCATTCCCTTGAATTTCAATGCATGAAACCAAAAGAGGCAAAAGGAGAGAGGGTCTCCTCCATCAAGAGCAATAGTTTCAGGAGATCAGGGATTCTATTTTTCTTAATCATTGTTAAGTCCCCACAGGGCACCTGGAACAGTGGCTGGCATACACCGAGAATCCCCCAAAGTAGTGAATGAGTGAGTGGACAAGAGAGAATGGCTCTTAACTTTCTCAGGGGTCCTGTCTCGTCCTTTGGTAATCCAAGATGTACATCACTGCCATTAACTTTGGCACAGTGCTCTAAAGAAGAATATTTCTCACAGTTTTCAGATCAGATAAGCTGTGTTTTATTGAAGAAGCAGGGGGAGGGAGGAAGTGCTATAATAAAAAGATGATTCTAAAACAATCAATAGGATAACAAAAAGCATGAAGAATGAAAGAAAAGCCATGCAACAAATGTAGGGCCATACCCACTGATTTCCTCTTGAGAACTGACAGAGAAGAAAGATGGTAGCAGATTAGAAAGGGTCTGCCACTCAAATAAGTAGTCTCCTTTGTAATTACTATTGTTTCTATAATTAACATTATTTCGTCAGATATCAGATGATTACAATATGAGTAGTAGATGTGACTGAGTATACGTGTGCCTATGTGTACACGTGGGACCGTCTCCTTCCACAAAACTTAACAGTAACATCATTCCAAGGCTTTTATTGTTCATCATAAAAATGGCTTTTTCCAGGACAGAAAAGGAAACAATATTTCTCAAAATACAGCAGCAGAATAGTCAGAATACTTTCTGGCATTCTGCAACTTGATAGCGTGTCTTCTAGAAGGTTGTCATTGCCCAGAGGGTCTCTGGCTCTAGAAACTAAAGTTTTCGCATCTTCACACAGGGAAAAGTTGAAGCTGAGTTCCACCTGGTCACAGCAGAAGAAGCGGAGAAAAACCCTGTCGGAAAAGCCCGAAAGGAGCCGGAGCCCCTGGCCAAGCCCAAGTGAGTGGGGTTGTGAGTGGGAACATCAGAAACAGGAAGAGGCCTTTGCGGTCCCGGATGGTGTCGGAGGTCGTGGGCGTTTCCTTAGCGCAGCCCTCTGGGGGAACTGAAACGCCGGGAGGCAGGCAAGCAGGGCCTTCCACGCTACCTTCCACGCTATGTAGCGTTTTGTTTCTACAGTCGACAACCGCTCTAGAAACATTGCAGAGCACTCGGCCAATGGAGAGGCAAATCATGTGTCTGTAATACCACCACATCAACATTTCTAGAATCATTTCATGTATTTTTCTACTCATTTTTTATGTGAATATGAATGCCAAAAGATTTTTTGTACCTATTCCCTAATCATGCATACAAAATTGTCTTAATGTTTCCTTTAGCCTTTACTGAAAAGTTTGGCTTTCTTGCCATAGTTGTCATAATTAGGATTTTTAATGGCTGTGGAATATTCCATAGACTTGATGCCCATAATTGACTTGGTTCCCACCCCTGTAATTGGATATTTAACTTACTTCTACATATTTTTCATTATTATAATATGATGAAAATGTTTTCTCTTTAGAACTCTTACTTTAAAATAAAGTCCCAGAAGTAGAATTACCAGACAAAAGGGCACTCTATTCAATTTGATCCTTGGTTACTTATCAATTGCAAAGTGAATAGATATAGATATGAGATGTGTATACAAAGCACTTTGAAATTGTATTTGTCCTGTCCCTTCTCAGACCCCAAGTGTCTCAAGATGAGGGCTCTTGTCTCTGTACCTACATTTTATTTCTCACAGTGTTAGGAACATCATGAGTGCTTGGTTATTCATTAAACGTGTCTACAAAAAGAACACTTTGGAAGACACAGAAGAACAATGACATAGGCTAGGCCTTCCAGCAGGTTTCCATCTACTTAGGGAGGAATAACACACAGACTCATAAAATAGTTATCAGAGTATGGAAGACAAATATGTTAGTTTCAAAAAGGGGGCAAGTCAAGTGATAATTGAGATAGGAACTCGGAGCGAGGGGAGCCATGTGCACTGAGGCAGTCAGGGTGGGCTTCCTGGAAGAGGTGGGCCTCAAGCTGGCTTCTAACTAGACTCTTGCTCTACTGCAGAGTAACCTTTAAAATGAAGCTGGAACCATTATTGTCCAAATGTTAGCTTGCTCCTCCTTTAGGCAACATGGTCTTCTCCCGTTCTCCAGCCTCTCCCTGTGGGTCACCAGAAAGTGGGATCAGAAGAACTTCCTGAGGTCTTGGGAATCCTGGGTGTTGACAATATGATCGCCTTTCCTGATTTTTTTCTCACTTCTCCCTCAGCCGCCCAGACACCTCCTTCTCCTGGTTTGTGAGCCCCTTCAAGTGCCTGTACTACCTCATCTGGAGGAATTACAAGAAGTACATCATCATCGCTTTCATTCTGATCATTCTCATCGTCTTCCTGGTCCTTTTCATCTACACCTTGCCGGGAGCCATCAGCCAAAGGATTGTGGTGGGCTCATAGAGGATCGCGGGGACCTAGGCCCTCCCTCAGCACTGATCTCCTCCTCTTCCTCATCGACAAACATCTGAGAGCACGTGCTGTGCAGGCACTGTGCTGAGTGCTAAGCAGCAGAAGCAAAGCGCCCAGGAACCAGTCCTTATGTCTGCGGACAGATTGGCTCTTCTTGGAGGAGCCAGAAAAGAAATATTCCCTCCCTACACCAACCCCTGCTTCTGTCTTTCAAACTTATGAGCCTTAAGTCATGTTTTTGCCATGGGCAGCATGAAATGATGACTCTCTTAACTCAGGGTAATCAACGGTGACCTCAAATTGACTTAGATGAATATTTTCTTTATGTAATTGGTTGTATTCTGAGAAGTTTCATTGTGGGTTTGAGATTTTATTAGAAGTATTTTATTTTAAACAAAATTTTACAATAAATAGGCTGAAAACATTATAGCAGATTACTAGGTATTTAACCTGTTCTGTATATCCTAACCCTGTTTAATTCTTACAGTTTATAGAAATGTGTTTATTTATTCAGGCTGTGAAACCCATTTGGAGAACACTTCATATAAATCATCTAAAAGACTTCATTGTTGAAATTCCCATCTAGAGAAAAGATGTTCCTGGTTTTCAATTAAAGTCAACATGTGTAGAACATGTTTAGTAGTAGCAGTGAGTCCTGGAGAAATCCATTTTGATTTATGCACTATGGCAATTTCCAAGTGGGAATTTTACAATATGTTGTAAGATATATGAAATATAATTGTGTGTATGTGTGTATGGGTTAGCAGGCGCTCCATGCTCCTGTAGGAATTCTCTTTTGCCAGATACCCAGGCATTGTCATAGACCATGACATGAATGACCATCCCTAGCACTGTTCAGCACTTAGCCTGACCACCATATGTGGCAGGTTTCATCATGAATCTCAAGCACACGTTAATTTCAAAACCAGTGTTAGAAATAATACCTTATGTACTTGTCATGTGGGGTCAGTTTTTCTTGAAAGTAAACCTCTGATCTTCAAAACACAGTCTAGATCTGCCACCCTTCTTAAAAGCAGGGAGTTGAAGTGAGGGGCAGGTTTTTCTCAGATATAAGGAAACAAAGGAATTGGAATGGTTGGCCTCAATTCCTATGCAGAATTCTGGCCTCATACACAAATAAATAGGGCAGCCATTTCTTCTTTCTGTCATTGGACCCATCTGGTGGTGCTGAGAACCTGGGCTGGTGCTCCTTTCTAGACACCAGAAGCACCAGGCTACTGTTTTGTTTTGCTTTGTTTTTTGGTAGCTTTGCACAGTTTTAACTCTTCTAAAGGGAAGGATGTTTACTTCTACATAGAAAGTCATTTTAGAATGTTCGTGATCCATCAAAGAAAGACTGAAGACTGTTCTGTGTGATTTTAGACTTAAGCATTGTTCACTGAATTCTAGCCCTCGAAGCTCACTCCCTAGAAACCCACATGCCCTATTTTCCTGAGACGCTGAAAAATAGAGCATTTCCTGCATTGGCAACGTTTCTTAGTGGGAGTGATTACATAAACTGTAGTTCATTCTTACTGTGCAATAATGCACAGCCATCGCTAATGATGCAGCTGAAAATACTTGATGGCATGGAACACATACATTGAGTGCATTGCAAGTGCAAAAATATATATGGGTTAGGAAACTATATAGTACAGCTTGCTGTAAAAAGAAAATATATATACGTGCATAGAAAAAAATATCTTGAGGAATATGTCAAAATGTTAACAGTGATTTAGCAATAATCTTTAGGTAGTAGTATCTTTCCCTTTTCTTCTTGTTTTCTATTTCTCCTAAAACTTCTAAAATATATATGTATTATTTTAATGTGAGAAGTTTAATAAATAAACATCAATTTACATGTGTTCTTTTAAAAATATTTGTTGAGGTTCTCCTATGTGTTGGGCAGTGGGGATACAAACATGGCCCCCGCTATTAAATAGCATGGGTTTTGCATTCTAGTGGATCCCTAAGATATTTTTTTATTTTCAAATTATGAGTCTTCCAAGAAAGGTGCCTGATAAAGAATGTGTTTCATAGATTAGTTTTAGGAAAAAGCACAACATATACCTCTGGTGGTGTTGAAAAGGAAAATAACAGTATTATTTTTGATAAATCTGGAGGAAAGGTATTATACTTTCTGCTGGATTCTATTTGGGAAGATGACAGGTAAATTCCCGACAAAACAATGTACATTTTTCAAATTCATAATAAAGACAAGTGAAAAATTGAAAATCTTCCTAAGTTAAATAGAACTCATTAACTTTCCTTTGATATCAAAAGACATCCACATGCTAAAAAGCTTTTAGCAAAAGTATTTGAAACACTTTCAAATCAGATGGCATCATAAGAAATGTGTGAGAATAAGTGGTAAGCAGGGACAATTTTGGAATCAGCTATGTCTGCTATTCTATACATAGGATATTGCATATGCCTGTCCTGCATATAATAAAATAAAATAAAATAATGTTCTATGCCTAAATGTGCAGCCTTAGTCCTAAAGATATTATACTTAAAAAAAATTTCCCAAGAAGTTGTCATGAGTCCCTACATGTGTTCTTAAATAAGATTAATTTAAATTTATTCATTTGACAGCTTAGAGTTTTTCTTACAGCTTAAATCTGTTTCAGAGTGGTTTTATTTATGTATTTTACAACATTTGAATCTTTTCCCCCAAACTACACACAAGGAAATTAATACCAGCAACAACCACAACAACAGACTCTAAGGACAGAATATCCAATTCTGTGTCACTAGTGGTTGAAACATTTGGTGCTCTTCTTGCTCTTCTCCTTTTAAGATACATAAATGGAAATTACAAGATCCACTTCACAGCTGGGGCCATTTGGTGCTTATTTATTCAACAGATAATTACTGAGCTCCATCCTCACTCCAGGTGCTGTGACCAGCACCGGGAACACAAAGCACACAGATAATGTCCCTGCTCGAACCCATGGAGCATAGAGTTTGATGGAGAGAAGACATAAATCAAACAATCACATGCACAGATCATTACAGACTGATGGGCTGAACAGGAGCAGAGAGAGCATCTCACAGAGGGCTACACAGGCAGCGAGGGAGACGTCCTGGGGAAGTGATGGCTGAAGGGAGATGAAGGATGAGGAAGCAAGATGGAGAGGAGGAAGAGCCTAGACTGAAGAGAGGGTGTGCACAGGCCCTGAGGTGAGAGGGAGCAAGGCACATAGAGGAGTCTGAAAGAGAGTGGGCATCATAATGAGAGGCAGAGGGTCCCGATATGGAGACAAAAGTTATGTAGGGGCCATAACCTTAAGGGTTTGGGTCTTTATTAAGGGCAATGAATAGCTAATGAAAAATTTTAAGCAGTGGAGAGATATGCTTAGATTTCCACTCTATGTGGAGAACAGATTGGAGGTACCGGAGTCCTCCCCACAAGAGAGGGCAGTTGTTTTCACTTAGTAATGGCAGCAGAGGAGGGAAGGGGAGAGACTAGAGATTACATATTGAAGGCTCCAGGATGGTCAAATGAGGAGTTTGGGATCTAATGCTGACTGTTTCGTACCAGCTGTGTGACACAGGGCAGCTGCCTGCACATCTCTGATCCACAGTTTCCTCGTCTGTCATATGAGGAGGTCCATATATATGGTGATGGAAAAGCCTGTGCTATATCCCAGTGCAAAGCTAATGTGTTGATGGGTCTGTAGCATAGAGAGTTTGAAGGAGTGGATTAAACTCCGAGCCAGATTGTAAGGGCTTTGACTGCCATGCCAGAAGGTTGGATTTTATGCAACATAAAGTAGGAACCCCTGAGAGGTGGCAAGAACAGGTCTGTGTATTACAGAAGTTGCTCTGCCTGCAGCACATGGCAGATTGTCAGTGATGAGGTCTGAGGTGGGAACGTATTAGGAATCGGAGGACGTAGCCCTGGCAGGGGCCATGACAGTGGGATAGAGAGGAAGGACCAGATTCTAGAACCCAGGTGGCATCCTCCTGAGAGGTGCCTGCCAGAGAGGACAGGCGAGTTTGGATCCTGGCTCCACCATCTTTATCTGGGCAGGTCTCTTAACCTCTCAGAGTGTCAGTTTCCTCATCTGATAAAAAAGGAGGTATCATGTGCTTGGCCAAAGTTGTTGTGAAGATTGGAGAAAAGGCATGTAAATTGTCTAGCAAGTGCCGAGCATGAAGCCAGTGCTCAAAGGGCAGTAGCTAATGCCACAGGTACCATTTCTATGAGCAGGAGCAGCAGGTTGTGAAGTCTAATTGGTCACAGGGAGTGAGGAAGGAGGATTATACCTATGTTTTAAATATGTTCTGGCACACAGACTAAGAAATTTTTCAACCAGTAATTCTCCTGAGTGTCTTAGTTTTCTATTGCTGCCGTAACAGATGACAGACAACAAACTCAGCTGATTAACCACTTCGGTACGGCACTCACCAGCCACGAAACCTCGCCCACAGCCGGCACTCATAGTCCGCACGGTAGTCTGTGCTGTGCACTGACGACGAATCCATTTTGCTCTTGTGTGATGAGGAAAGCTTTAAAGCGCTGAAAGCTTGTTTTACTTTACGGGCAGCTTTACCTATAATGTAAATCAGAACAGGTAACATATACATATATGTTTTTATTACATTATTTTTAAATGTTCACAATTTTATTTTGATAAATGAAAAATTAGAAAAGTCATATCACGGCTGTCAGCTAAAGTCGCTGTGTGTGTTCATCTGTGGCTGTCGACTATAGTCGACGCTCGTACCAAAGTGGTTAAGGGAACACACATTTATTATCGTCCAGTTCTGTAAGTAAGAAGTCCAACCTGGGTCTCCCCAAGCTAAAACCAAGGTGTTGGCTGGGTTGCCTTCCCTTTGGAGGGGGGCGGAATTCTGTTTCCCTGCCTTTTGGTTTCTGGAGGCTTCCCACACTCCTTGGCCCCTGGCCCCATCTCTTCATGTCCAAAGTCGGCAGCATTGCATCTCTGTGCCTGCCTTCTGTAGTCACACTTCACTCCGGTTACACCTGGAAAAAGTCTTGCTCCGACGGTCCCCTGTGATCACTCACGTTGAACCCACCTAAATAATCCAAAATAGTTTCCCGATCTTAAGGTCCTTAACCACATCTGCAAAGACCCTTTTGTCATGTAATGTAACATAGTCACAGGTTCTGAGGATTAGAACATGCAGTTCGTTTTGTTTTGTTTTGTTTTGTTTTTCCCTTTGGCAGAGGGAGGCATTGTTCGTCCACCACACCATCTCCCAGACAGTGTAATTTGGCCCAATTTGAAGGTCATTTCAGTAGAGCTTTGAAAGTTGGTGGGACCATTATGGGGTAGGAAAGGGGGGAGACTCACAGATACTTTCCTCTCTGGAACAAGATGTTCCCATTTGCTCTTCAGCCTCTCAGGTGGTAATTATCTCCGCAAAAAGGGTAGGATCCATTCTGTCCTCGGCTTTCTGGGATGGGCACGACAGGACTCTGCCACTTCGGGAGTTTCCACGTAAGTCCTTCCTCTACAAACTCGGTTCTCCCTTTGTTCCAGCCTTTGTTCTCCCTGGCTTGTAAAGGGCAATTTGAGAAAAGCACTCTATTTTTCTGAAGCATTGTATGGTTTCTGAATCGCTGTACTAGTGGAAAGAAAGTGGGCTTTGGAACTGAGACTGAGAGAATGACATTGAAACTTGGGCACAGCCGCTTACAAACTGCGAGCTTGAACAAGTTACTAAATGACTCCAAATCTCATTTTCCTGACACATAAAATGAAGATAATACTTATCTTACAGGATCGTGTGAGTTTGGACATATGCAGTGGTGGCAATGTCTGGGAACAGAAGTAGAGGAACATTTATAAAATATCTAGTGTCATCGAGATCATGAGCATTGAGATTAATGACCATTTACTATCTAAGTAACAAACAACTGATGTTCTCTGAGTGTTGTTACAGACTGCAACGTAATACATATGTTTTCTTGCTGATTCTCCCAACAACCTTATTTTGCAAACAGCTCCAGGGACTTCCAGGTCGCCCCTCTCATTTAGAACAGATCCAGGACCCAATCCCGGCCCCTCCTGCTCCTCTGCTCGCTCCTTTATATAGGAAGCTGGGTAATGAATCACTTGAGGTGGGCAGGGCTGCCAAAATTCCTCAGTGCCTTTTTACAGTTCATTCATGAGCTAGGGATTCATCCAGAGCCCCTGAAACATATCAAATGTGTTTTACACTGCCCCATGGGTGTGTGTTTTGAGCCTCGCTTTTTACTTGAACCACTGCATTTGGTGGACAGAGAATGCAACAGGCAGCTCTCATTCATGCTACTCCAGATCTTTTAAACCCTTTTTTCACACTTGGCACTTCTTCTAGTGGAAATCCATTCCCAGAGCAGGAAACAACATCTGGAGTGCAGACGTTTAACTCAGCTCCTTGTGGTTAGGCACGGAACTTAGAAACTAGTTATGTGAAGGAACAGGCAAAGGTAGAAGGCATCGATCATCCCAGAAATTGCTAGCTGCACAGCAAATATCCATTTCTCCTGCCTCCTTGGTAGCAGAACGCCAGCTATAGTGGGGGCAGAATGTGCTGAGTATGTTCTTCAATCTCTTACTATGAGGGGTAGCCAAGGCTATGTAAGCAGGGATCACTTGGGTGGGTAGAGCTTAGAGGAAATCTCATTAAAGGGAGTTCACTCAGCTGACAGACTCCTCGGGCCTTTTCTGCTTCCTCCTTCATCACAC